GTGTTAGCTAAAGAAAAAAAAAAAAAAATCTAAACATATAAAATCTCAATCTAAAAATATGAAAAATATGAAAAAGACAAGTGGAGCTGCCTTAGCTTCCTCCAAATTAAACAAAAATATTAATGCAATAGCTGTTTTTGCTACCACTTTTATAAGGCTGTAGATTTAAGGCTTTTGGCTTAGCTCATGAAAAACAAAAATTGTCTATTCTCTTAATTATTGTTTAGTATTCAGTCTGAATCTTTGTGAGAATTTCCTCTTTGCTACAATGATCCTTCCACCTCACAGTTCGGGCAAATTAAAATACTGATTAATCAGCATGATTAACATACAGGTGTGCCTTGTCTTTAGCAGACCACCAACAAGCTGGATCACATACTTTCTGAAGATGTTTTTGTTGTATTTGCTAGATTTGATATGATAATATTTCACAAGAAAAGATGCAAGTCATGCCCCCCGATCGCATATCTCATTGTCAGTAGCCTACTTTCCAGAAATATCTACAGCACCTTCTGTGTTGTACAGATCTTGGAAAACTCCCTGAAGGCTTGTCTTTAAATCAGTCTCAGACACTTTCCCTAGGTTAGACTTTTTTGACCATGAAATCCCTGCTTAAAAGTTAAATGCCGACTGTGGCTTGTTACTTCATTTCAGTTCAAAAATCTTAACCCAAAAAGGAAAATTGTTGGCAGATTTTAGGGAGACAAATGAAAATGTTACTAAAACTGTTTTATCAGCCTTAACCAGAGCTTATGAATGCTAGTATATCAAGGGTTAACTGACTTTACATAAGATTAGCTGGAATATAGTAACTGATGTGCACACATGACAAACACATTTTAACATTGCTATGTAGACCTTGTTTGTCTTCTGAAGATTGCAAAAGGAGAATGTAAGTTCAAAGCATGTTTAAAGGGACAGTGTGTAAGATTGACCTCCATCTAATAGTACACTAAATAAATAACAAATGACCAACTGAGGCCCTGTTTCTAACATAAGGCCAAGATAAGGTTCACCTGAAATCTCAATGTGTGTCCTAAAGTCCATCTCCCCTCATACACTGTCTCCACACAGACATGGCTAAGCTAAGAGCTGAGCATTGCAGGTGCTCTGTTAATGTCTGCATCAAATTTTTTTTTTCTTCCTTCATCTGAGACTTATATATTTTGGATGGAAATCTACCTGCAAAAAATCAAAAAGTTTTGAATCTGTGTGTTAAGCGTTTCAAAGAGGAATTTTTTCACAGTATAGACTACCAAAGCAGGCTTCTCTACATTCCGTAAATCGAAGACTGGATCAACACCAACCGTTTGTTGCAAAGCTTTTACGGATGGTCCTCATTGCAACAAAAAGTGTAAATGACCTACTGACATTTAGGCTTTTTAAAAAATCCTCCACTGACAACACATTTCAAAATACAGGCAAAAAAGTTGCCCCTTTCCGTCTACTCTGATCAAAAATAGACACCCAACATGGCGTCTCCCATTGAGTGCACCGCCCCTGATATATATCTAAACTACCAAATTTAAGCTTTGAGAACACTTTCATTTCTTATGTTATCTTTTTAGACCTTCTCAGAATATTTATCTGCTATAGAAATACATGATTGTTGTTAATAAAAACTCACATTTATAACATACCGTCCCTTTAAATTTTTACAGCCCAGGATAGGCTATCAGGCTAGAAGATGTAAAAGCATGTTTCTGACTGGTGAAAGAATGAAAGTGGACATGTGTGGAATTGACTCTGTTCTTACCTAACCGTGACCTCGTCTGTGAACCTGAGCACACGGTGTGTGAGGATGCTACGAGGCAAGGTGCCGCCCCTCTCCTGCCTGGTATATGGTTTACTCTTTAGGCATGCAGGGAGGGTTGAGCTGTGTGCCAAACACCCGCATGCAAAGAAAGGCAAAGGAAATCCAAATGACGCATGCAAATGAGAAGATGAAGAAGCAACTAGGTGAAGAGCTATGAGATGAAAGTCCTCATCACAACATAAAACATAGAGCACACTGACATACTGATTCTTTTTTTTTATTCTTTTTTAGTTGGTTTTGTTTTGTCACTTGGACATATATCAGATTGTTAAAAATATTTAGTGTCAGCTAAAAGTTATTTTATGAGGGGAAAAAAAGAGAGGGAAAGAAAACTGAACCATATCCTTATTAAATCTTAACCTGTCCAAGTAGGCTAGAGCAGTACTGTGAAGAAGACAAACCATGCCCTCGATCAGAAGAAATCAGGAACAAATAATAATAAAAAATATTCTATCTTGAAATGGAAATGGAGAAGAAATGGAAAAGTGCTTAACCTTCCTAGAAATTGGAGGCCTCAAACTATTTTTCAAACAGCACGCTGCCAAATCATCCAGACGGTCAGAAACAACACAGAACATCATCTAAAGGATGGACTGGACTTGCTCCCTTAGATGGCTTTGCAGACTGGTTGATGATTGATTACCACCTTTCCTTTATTTAAAGATACAGTATGTTCACATTATATATATATATATTTATTCACAGAAAGCTTACTGGCATCAAATACAGCTAGGGCTGCAGCAACAGGTTCATTAAATGAATAAAAACAATTAAAATAAACAACTGTTCTAAGGGGTCCAGGTTGGACCAGCTCATGGGTTACAGGTGGGAAATAAGATATGAGGGTTGGAAATATGTTTGATGGAAATAAATTAATGATTAAGCTTATGTTCTATGTAGGAATAAATTAGCAGAAATTAAAAACATCTTTTTTGTTCTATTAATATGACAAATAATCAATTATTAAGATAATCACTTCCAAGAAACATTTATAAACATATATAATATAGTATATTGACATACACTCACTGGCCACTTTATTAGGTACCCCATGCTAGTAACGGGTTGGACCCCCTTTTGCCTTCAGAACTGCCTCAATTCTTCGTGGCATAGATTCAACAAGGTGCTGGAAGCATTCCTCAGTGAGTTTGGTCCATATTGACATGATGGCATCACACAGTTGCCGCAGATTTGTCGGCTGCACATCCATGATGCGAATCTCCCGTTCCACCACATCCCAAAGATGCTCTATTGGATTGAGATCTGGTGACTGTGGAGGCCATTTGAGTACAGTGAACTCATTGTCATGTTCAAGAAACCAGTCTGAGATGATTCCAGCTTTATGACATGGCGCATTATCCTGCTGAAAGTAGCCATCAGAAGTTGTGTACATTGTGGTCATAAAGGGATGGACATGGTCAGCAACAATACTCAGGTAGGCTGTGGCGTTGCAACAATGCTCAATTGGTACCAAGGGGCCCAAAGAGTGCAAAGAAAATATTCCCCACACCATGACACCACCACAACCAGCCTGAACCGTTGATACAAGGCAGGATGGATCCATGCTTTCATGTTGTAGACGCCAAATTCTGACCCTACCATCCGAATGTCGCAGCAGAAATCGAGACTCATCAGACCAGGCAACGTTTTTCCAATCTTCTATTGTCCAATTTCGATGAGCTTGTGCAAATTGTAGCCTCAGTTTCCCGTTCTTAGTTGAAAGGAGTGGCACCCGGTGTGATCTTCTGCTGCTGTAGCCCATCTGCCTCAAAGTTCGACGTACTGTGCGTTCAGAGATGCTCTTCTGCCCACCTTGGTTGTAACGGGTGGTTATTTGAGTCACTGTTGCCCTTCTATCAGCTCGAACCAGTCTGGCCATTCTCCTCTGACCTCTGGCATCAACAAGGCATTTCCGCCCACAGAACTGCCGCTCACTGGATGTTTTTTCTTTTTCGGACCATTCTCTGTAAACCCTAGAGATGGTTGTGCGTGAAAATCCCAGTAGATCAGCAGTTTCTGAAATACTCAGACCAGCCCTTCTGGCACCAACAATCATGCCACGTTCAAAGTCACTCAAATCACCTTTCTTCCCCATACTGATGCTCGGTTTGAACTGCAGGAGATTGTCTTGACCATGTCTACATGCCTAAATGCACTGAGTTGCCGCCATGTGATTGGCTACTTAGAAAATTAAGTGTTAACGAGCAGTTGGACAGGTGTACCTAATAAAGTGGCCGGTGAGTGTATATAGTATGAGTGAAATAAATAAACGGAGGAATTATTGTGAAAACCATTAAAACGGTTGTCATAAAATACAGGAGGATTAATGACATTCAACACACCATCCCTTCGTCTAGTAAGATCTCTAAGTATAAAGGTGAGTTTGTTACTTTTACCATAATATTTTCTGAATAAATCTTCGAATAAAAAAAATATAACTACTTCAAAAGCAGCTCCTTACAAATTTTTGAGAAATAAATGAATACATAATGTTATTATCATTTATTTATTCTATTAAACTTGGGCAGAAGTGATAATGGTTGAATGTTTGCTAACTTATAATAAGCCAAATATTTTCAAATTAAAATGTTGTTTTTGAGAAATGTACCTCTGCATTTAACCCATCCCCTTGGGGAGCAATGGGCTGCCATTGTGCGGTGCCCGGGGAGCAGTGTGGGGTTAAGGGTCTTGCTCAGAGTGGCAGTCTGTGGGAGTGGGACTCAAACTCAGAACCTCAGGATTCCAAGCTCTATCCCCTAACCACTAGGCTGCCGCTCCTCTATACAACACCAATGATGAAATGGCCTATAATTGGTTAAAACATTTGTTTCTTATCCGATTAGATGTAAATTGGTTGTGTGATCCACTGATCAAAACTAATTTTTCTCATCAATGTAGTGTATGAAATGTTTTGTAGCCTAAGCACTCATGACTCTAACAGCTGTTGTCAAGGATCTCCAACTGTTTTAGTCCATCTTGTCCAGGGATGTCAAACTCATTTTTATACTCATAATCAAGTATTCAAATGGGCCAGTTGGAGCTGTGTGTATATAACTTTTATTTTGATCGTTTAATTTACAGAGACCACACTGAGCCAGTGTTTTAAATGTATTCCCATGTGTTTGTGCATTTTTAGCCCCTCTTTGCACGTCTCTACTTTATGCTTTGATATGCCTTTTTGGCTCTTGAGGGGCAGATAAACTGTCATGATGGTCAAAATTTGGTCCTTAAGTTTGACAAATGAGATCTACTCAATAAATGTTTAAAATTTATTTTAAAACCACAACATCTTCACTGAATAATGTGTTTCAATACTTTAATATGTTCCCTGACATGTCTGCATATATTTCAGAGATAACAGACTTTCTTTGTCTTTGAAGACTTTTTTTTGACATTTTTACAAACAAGGCTGCAACTAACGATTATTTTGCAAATCGAGTAATTTGTCTATTATTTTTCCGATTAATAATCTTATACCCAAAGTTCCCTTAAAGAAGATTTTTTTACGAAAATCAACCAGGTGAAACTAAAACTTTCCACTTGAGGAGTTATGGATATTGCATATTGACACAACTTTTTTTTATTTTAAATAGAAGTGTTTTGTTTTTTGTTTTTTTTATACAATTTTGATATAATTACTGCTCTAAGTGGGTAAAAAAAGGCATGTTTTACAGTATCTGTACTTCAGTTACAAATTAATTTATAACTAAATTAGTTGAAAATTAGTTCAATAATTAATCAATCATGATTAATTCGATTAATTGTTTCAGCCCTAGTTACAAATCCCTGTAGCATTAGTATTTATTAACCTTGGTCAAATGGCATAAAAGCTGTAAAATGACTGGAATTAGCTTTAAAGAATAAGTGAAATATTAAATAGAAAGGTTATTCACATTTGACAATGGTGGCATCTGAATACCACCAAGTACATTTAATAAACCTTTATGCTATTTCATACTTTAGCAGTATTAGGGTTTTTATATTTAAAACTCGTGGAACACTTTGAACTTAAATTGGGACTCAAAGAGGAGATCTTTTGTGCCCAGTTTGACAAATAATTGGTTTGATCATTTAAAAAGAGTTCCTAGGATCAATTAAAGAATTTGAGCAGTAAACATGATCTGAGGTCAGTCAGATTTGACTTCTATTAAATTTCCTTAGCTCATAAGGCCCAAATTGATTTTATATGAAATCTTCACAAAATATATTGTATTTCAAGTATTCTTACTCATTGAAATATACTCATACCTCTTGATACAAAAATGGTATCATATAGATGGCACAAGATGATTTGTGTATGACAGTACAACAAAAGAGGGAAGAGCTGAAAGGGCAACACATGGTGAAAACTGTCAATGGAGGGAATACACTCAGGACAAGTTAGGAAAAATAATAACCACAACACAAAAAACACAAAGTGGAAGCCTTTTGATTCAGTAATTTCACAAATGAATAGTAAAAAAAATAGACAATCACAAAGTAAAGAAGGAAAGACAAAACTGCCTTCCGAGCGTGAAATGCTTACCTGTAAATGTCTTTATGGATACCATTTACTAAAAGGGGCATTTTGGGGGGGAGGGTGCTGTATCTACCTATCGTCCTGGTTGGACGAGTAGGAATCATGCACATTGAAAGCAAGCAAGAAAAAAGCGGAAAATAGAGAAAACATCTCAGACAAAATGCTAGGAAATGAGAAAGAAAGCTTTGTCCCCTTTGAGGTCAGGGATAGGGTAGGCATCTTATCCACATGTATATCGATAGATTTGTTTTGTACTTTCTTATCAGACAGCAAGATCGTAGACAAAAAGTGTGCTGCATCCTCTTGTTACAAATGCAAGATATTTTGATTATATTTGGGTGTTAAAAATTCGGAAAAATGTAACATATTTCTTTTACACCAAGAACCTTTGTTAAGATGGAGTTGTTAAGATATGATGGCAACCACTAAAACCCAGCTGAATGGGGGTTATACCTGTTGGTGTGCAGGCACTCAGCACTCCCGCCTCGTATTGATCTGTGCATCTCCAGGACCTCGCTGTCATGACGATGGGTAAACGAATGATAAACAACCCAGGGGAGCACAAAACAAACAGGATGGCAAAACAGATGAGCAAAGTGGATTTATGAATGATAGAAAGCAGGAAAAAATAATTCACATATAATAGTCATGTCTATAACAAATACAGTTAGTAGTATTAGTGAAATTAGTTAAATGAAATCAGATTATCTTCAGATGTCAAATCAATCATCAGATGTCACAGATAAATTACTGTTTAATACAGTGAAGTTTGAAAACATGTTAATATTTGGTTACCTGTCCTCTGAATACTCATAATCTGAGTCGCCGGAGCGCTGGTGCTCCAGGGAAGACTCGTGGTAATGGGACGGGGAATGGGAGTGGTGGCGGTTATGGTGAATCTCATCCAAACTCCTGAAGAAATAAATTAATTTATACTTAAAAATCAATTCATTGTAATAAGTTAAATATAACAGCTGATTTTTTTTTTGTTCTGATACACTACAGATTGAGAGAAAAATGATGAGTACTTCGAATAAAAAAGCATGTAGAAAATTATTTTCTGGATTTCTGGTAGCTTACAGGGGGTCTAGAGATATCTTATATCTTAGGTAACATATACGGTGGCTTGTAAAAGTCACTCAACTTTTACACTTTCGGTCAAATTAATCGGAAACTACTTTTTTTTTTTTTTACTGTAATTTTATGAAGAGAACACATACGTAATAATGACACAGCAAAAAAGAACACATTTTCCAAATGTTCTTATAAATAAATACAGCTTTGCATATGCAGACACTGATATTTTCCACATTCTTTGCAAAAATAATTTAAACCCAGTGAGATTAAATGGCATAGTAAATATACATGTTAATCCCAACCAAAGATTCTAAAGTAGATATAGGTCTATACCTTGAATTGGCCAGACTTATTAATATGGTTTTATTTAAAGCAGAGAAGTTTACAAGTCAATTCTTCAAAGTCTTAAAAAGGGAATTTAAATCAACATAAGTTATAACATAAGAATATTTTATAACTGTCTTTCAAATTATTTAAAGTTTTTAAAAGTTAACTATTAATCAATTACCCTTTAATCCAGCAATAAAATAATATAAAGGTGTCTTTATGTCATCTTCAAATAGTCCAGGTTTAAGACTTCCCTTTTAGAAATATAAATAGGAATTTATACATTAAATAAAAGACAGAAATTAAAACCAGTCGTCCTGTATTTCTTTACTTTATCTTATCTGTAATGACTGTAAACATCGGTTTATCCCAATCTTCGTACTATCCACTCCTTCATTATATATCACAGTAAATTAGTTTATCCTCAATTAAAACTGTTTTACTTACTAATTTTGACTTTAAGAAAATAAATATGTGAGGCATATGACTAAATTTGTTTTGCAACATGTTCTTCCGAGATATGGATCCACAATGGGCCATTTACCGACAAGAATATTTCTGAATGCGGCTGATTAAATAAAATAACTAGTTTGAACTTTATTGATCTCACAATGGAGAAATAAACTCTCTGCAATAAGCCCATCCCCTTTGGGGAGCAGTGGGCTGCCATCATGGGGCGCCCAGGGTGCAGTGTGGGGTTAAGGGTCTTGCTCACAGACCCAGGGTGACAGTCTCCAAAAAACACTTGATTTAATTTCCAGAATATCAGAATAAGTGGTGCTAAAAACATGCATTGCATACTTTTCAACTGTCTTCGTTTATAACCACAATCCCAAGAAACACATAAAATTTTCGGGTTGTAGTTCACTTTACAAGATTAACCGCTAACGGTACCGGTACGAGCCTTCGGGGGGTGGAGCCTCTTTTTTTTAAATTATTATTATTACAGCTTACACATTAGGTAAAAAATAGCTACTTTCTTTTTAACCTTTTTAAATAAGAGGCTTTAAAGTTCTTTAATCAAGTCAAAATTAGAACTGTGTTTTGGTTTTACAACACTTTAAACACACAAGAGGCCATTTCAAATTTTAAAAAAGACAAAAAAAATTAGGTGAGACTCAAAAATGTTGATTTTTTTTTTTTTTTCCGTTTAAATACCTATAAATTAGAAATTGTGACATTACCAATTAGTGCTCCACTAAAACATTTTTTAATGACTTTCATACTATTTTTTTTTTTAGATTTCCACTTTATAAATTTGGAGCTACACTTCATTTACCGTAATCAGATTAGTCATTTCAGGCAGAAATTGCTCCTAAAACCCTCTGGGCTTTAGGGGCTCAAATAAAAATATGTAGAGAACAAAGCTACATCTCTGCCTCTAAGCTGGAAACTAAATTGTCTAAACGATTATTTCATAAATAATGCAGCACATTTATAAATACAATAAAGGCCCACAGACAGAAACCTAAAACAGCAAAAGGCTGAAGAGAAGGTTTCAGTATTGCTTTGCTTAAACACTCAACATATATGCAGTGGTGAAAGTCACGTAGTTTACTGCTGAGGCAAGCTGACCTTTGCATGGGCACATGTGGCGGCCGAGATCGAGCCCTGCAGGAGTCCTCCCTGTGAGGAGACACTGATCGGGAGCGGTGCTGGATGGGGCGCTGCTGCTCCGGGACAGCCAATGTACTACTTCTATCTCTCTCACGGGAGTTACGCTCTCCACCTACACACATACACACCATGGTGCGGGCACACAGCGAGAGAAAATAATGAAGGCAAGTTTTGGCATTAATATGGATAAAAACTCTAATTGTATATGAGGAATAAAAACAGTTAACCAACTTAAACCAGAGATGTTCATTTCATTAAAAAATAAGCCTCAGTTCAGAGTTTTCTTCTACGCACTACAACTACTACTACAGTTGGAAATCTCTTGCTGAATGTAGAACATCACATCACGATGTTTTACAAGCAAATAAAATGCCTGGCTGTTTTTGCAGTGGCTGTCAGACCAGAGATCTAAAGAATTATAATTTTGTTTGTGCTCTCAAATAATATAAGCTATACCAAATTCAGAGAAAACTAATTTTTATTGCCCAAAGCATCAAATGAAGGAAAAAAGAGAAATATATTTCAATTCAAAGAACATGTTGCAGCTTTAAGTATGCATGTACGTATTTGTGGAAAAAAATAACATGGATTTTCCTGTAATTCTATATTTACTATATTTAAAATATTTCTTCTTCTTCACACTAACTCTTTTTTCATTTAAGTGGAATTCTTTTTATTAATTTAATTTTTAAGAGTATATTTTTGCTTTATTTTTTTCATCTGGTAAATACTGTCAGCCATTAAACCTGCATCCTGTTATCATAAAGTAATCACCCTTCCCAGTCCTTATGCTTCCTGGTTTTTGTATAATTATGTTGACTTCATCCTTTCCTCCTGGCTTAACTTGAATTTTGTTTTTGCTGTGTTTTATTTTTCCTTTCATCTAGAAATGCACAAAATAACTCTTACAGTGAACAGGTACGACTCAATGATCAGGTGCTCAATATACTGGTAAGAACTAAAGCCACTGTAGAAACAGGCAGACAGCAAAGATGTTCGACTTCTTTTTCCAGTAAAAGAATAAAAAATAAAATACATACAACATCATAAAATAGACTTAATCCTCATTTGTGCATGATGTCTGTGTTGAAGGACTAAAAGCATGCAAGGGATTGAAAGTAAGTGAAATGGCATAGAAAGAAAAAAGGAGCTCTGCAGTCTATCATGCACTCCGTTCTTTACTAAGTCTATGGTCCAGCAGAGGAGGAGAAACTGCAGCTTCTGGAAAGGTCAATACAAACTGAAGGGCTAAAGATCACCGTGACGTGATGCTTTGCTGCAGGCTATGATGAGTAATAAAAATCTCACAACAGAATTTTGTATTTTACTAGCTGGGTGCAAATTGAAGTAAACATTTCAGTTATTACAAGAAGTAGCTTCTCACCAAGTGCTGGACAACTAAGAGGTACTACAAAGAAAGACTCGGCAATCATGCCCCCCACCCACCTTTAGTCCCACCTATCAAACCATCATCAAACTCTGTATCAATGATGCGATGAGACCCTGTATACACACACACACACACACACACACACAGACAGGGTGAGACGGGGTAAGGCTGAGAAGTTCTGACACAGGAGAAAGCTCAGAAGAAGGACAGGTTAACTGGTTCAGACTCAAACAAATCATAAATCCAATGATATATGGCTAAGAAGACGACTGGCTGCTGAGGGACGTACTTTGTAACTTCTTGCTCGGACTGTCCCCATGGACATGTCGGCGTGGAAGATATGGAGAGGGCTGAGGCAGAGGTATGGAGGACACATCATGAGTCTGGAGTTTATACCAGTGAGCCGTGTCGTCCAATAAGGCCGTCTCAAGCTCTATAAGGATCTGACAAGAAATATGAGAAAAACAGGCTGAGAATGTTGGAGAATAAGAGCTTAGAATCAGAAACGTTTAACTATCCGATAATGGGGTTTTGTTTTCATGTTCTAAGAATGATGGTAGGATTTTTACCTAATCAACCTTTATTTGACGTGTAGGGAAAACCAACCTGAGAGCATCAGCTATTGCTCCATCAACTGCAACAAAAAATGTCTTGATAAAATTTCAAAAAGTAATAAAAAAAGTGTTGATCTATTTTAATATCCAGAAATCTATTTTATGTTTCTCTCTGTACTGACAGGTCAAGTGTGTTTGTTTAACATGGTTTCTATGAAAGGCCTAAAACCTATAGAACTTAAAAATATGATAATAAATAGAAAATGGTGTTAGCGCCTCACTTCCATTTGATGCCCTGAAGTGTTTTCGTTTTATTGGATGTTTTATTTTATATTTTGTTTTATTGGCTGATTATTTTACTTCTTTTGTGCATTCTCTGATCATTTCTAAACTACTGTGTTGAATGACGTTTTTGGAAATTTAATATTTGTGACTGTGCTTTGTATCGTATGTTTTTAATCTGGACCCCAGTAAGACTAGCGGTTTGCCATGGAAACAACTAATGGGGATTCTTCATAAAATTTCAAAATGACTTCAGTTTCAGGCTGTAATAAAATTTGTATTTTTTATCATCTTTTGACTCCAACTTAGTACTGGAAACCCTATTTGCTTCATAAATTGCCTGAAATTCATTTGAAGGGGTAACTGAATACTTTTCAGCCTCTGAGATCATTAGGTAAAACTCATTCTGCACACACAGATATATTTCATTTGCCTTGTTTGGTTTATTTTGATCATAAAGATTCAAAATGATCAAAACCCCCAAATTTACTTGCCAAAAGGACTAATTATTGTAATGATAATTCACCTTTTAAATGATTTAAAAGAGACAGGAAAAAGGAAATCGAAATAACTTTAGCGTGTACTTCACATCTTCTCAAATTCAAGCATCGAGTACTTGAGAGCAAAAACCAAAAATGTATTTGATTGATTGATTGTTAGTTCAATCTCTAACGTTATGCTCTCTCTGCCTTTTCTCATAGTAGCTTTGCCTCATCTGTTCCTGTTTGGCTGTGATACCATCCTAGAGAGAAATATCAGCTGTGCTGCTTCCATCAACACCCTTGTTTATAGATGCTGGAGATCGGCCTGTTTTCCAGTGTAGTCCTGTTTCTCTGACTGTGACTGGCTGGATGTTCTCTCTTCATCCTCTGACATGGGAGCTGGCTCAGAGCTTGTCTGCCTGGCTGTGTGTTTCCTGGACGGAACCGCCTTTTACTGTTGCTTTTGTATCTCTGCTTCTGTCTCCTTGAACCCCAGCAGAACCACTGAGCCTGGTTCTGCTGGAGGTTTCTTCCTGTTAAAAGGCAGTTTTTCCTCTCCACTGTCGCTACAAGCATGCTTAGTGTGAGGGATTGCATCCGAGTCAATGAGTAAATGCAATCAACTGGTTTTCCTTAGATAGAAAACTTTTAATCAATTTGACTGTATGATCTGGTTGAACTATAAAGTGCCTTGAGATAACATGTGTTATGAATTGGCGGTATATAAATAAAGTGAATTGAATTGAATTATTTAACTGTAGATGCTAAAGTTTTTTTTTTTTTTTATGGAAATATCCAATCAACTGAACACATCTAGATTAGAATCAATGTCAAGTTACAATATTTAGTATTCAATCTCAATATAACTAGTGCTTAAGTTTTGCTAAAGTACAGTATGCACAATAAGGAATAAAACAATATGATACATGTGATATTTAGATGAATCTGTATGTACTGTATTTGCCATACAGACATTGTGAAGTGTCACAAACCTCGCCTAGAAATTCGCTTTCTTCCTCCTGCACTCGGGGCTGATCCCATACGGTGATCTCCAGCATGCGCTCTCTAAAGTCCCGCCGGTGGACATGGGAATATATGAAAGTTTGGTTCCACTTTGGCTCTGAGCTCTTCTTCACTGTTTTTGTCCGTCGTTTACTTTTGTCACTGAACACAGACACGCAAGAAAAAAAAAGAAGAATTTCAAGTGGATACTAAAAGATGAAGTCATTTTGAACTAGGCAGAGGTACAAAGTAAGAGAAAAAACATTTAAATTGCTTACCTCCTGTCAGGTAGGAAATACATTTTGACATACGGGTTCCGAGGTCGGCCGTCTGGTCGAGGTGGCAGGTCTATGGCTTGAAGGACGTTGACAATCAACTGGTGACCCACTTTGTCGTACCACAGCTTCACCTAAAACATGTTAAGATGTTGAAAAGTGGTAATCCTTCTCTGAAAACACTAATCAGACTTAACTCTTTTTTCTTTACTTACAGAGAGCTGTCCAGGTAGCACAAGAGGAAGCTCTCGAAGGGTGCCAGGGCTGGTAGGTGACATCACCGATATAGAGGGACGATCCATCATCTGTGACTCAAAGGAGCTCGAGCCAGCTGTGAGATGAAAAAGTTCTTATTTCTACAACTATCGAGTAAACAGAATAAAGAACTAGAAGATTTTTTTATGGAAAGTTTAAATTTGCCTGCCTTTGGGGTACAGTAGCAGCCATTCAAAATGGCCCTTCCCAGTCAAATGCCAGCCAAATGGCAGCCAACTTCAAGCCACTGGAGATACCCCCTCCTTCTCCTCAGAAGGCATATTTTTTTACTCTGACTCCATCCTTTCACTGAATTACAGGGTCTAACCAGGAGAAGGCGCTTCTCTTTAGATCTTAATGTCCACAAATCATGACAGAAAGATTATTTTAGTACAAAGATGATTTTTAAAAAAGGGCATCTTAGGGGATCAGACAAGGACCAGCCAAGGGCCCATCAAGGAACATGGGGAAATTTTGTAAGGCTACTACTGTACAAACTCAAATAGTAATATGTTTTTTTCCAGCACGAACTTTGCATCAGATTTGAGCTTGAAAGCCTATTAGTTACACAGGAAGCATGGTTACAAAAATAAAGCAATAAATAAGCAAGAAAAACAGATGTTTAATCCTGGTTTTAAAAACACAACCTAAAACAAGATTCTAGGTTTTGTGGCTTGGATACACTGTTGATTAATTTTTTTTAGAATAGAAAAAACGTTATTGTCTACCATACACAATAATGGCAGACATTTGCCTTAGGATTGCTCACACACAGCAATGCACTAAAAATACATTAACATACAATAAAAAAAGGAGTTCATTGCAAACTCAGCAGCAGCAGCAGATTCACTGTATCAAGGGAAGGGAAGCAGAGCAGACCGAGTGACATTTATAACTTGTTGAGCTCCTTGAGGGCAAAAAAGAATGTACACAAATTTCTTTCTTATTTACATAAATAAGAAAGATATTTTCTCAAAGCGTACGCATTTTAATAGAAAAACCCAAAAATCCTGTCATTACATCACACTGTTTTAGGCAATGATATACCATATTTTCTGGAATATAGAGCACACCTCACTATAAGCTGCTCCCACCTAATTTTCTGAAAAAACTGGAAACTTACATATTTAAGCTACGTTGGGCTACAAACCGCTGATATCTACTGAACTGTCTCCCACCAAATCTGCAGGAGGATCTCTACTTAAAGACCCTCGAGTAGGGAGGAATGCTAGCTTCTGTTATCTTGTTGGCTTGCAGCAGTAAAAGCTTCTAATGAAAAACAGGGCTTTGTCAATTCTTTATTTCAGCTCTGCAGGAGTTGAGCCCAGTCTCCTCATTGGTTGAGCAGCATTAATGCTGCAAATAAATGTCAAAATGTGTGAAATGTGTTTATTCGGGGAATCTTTTTTCCTACTCCTTACATGTTCATGTGCTAAATGAAAATCAGCCCCTTAGTCTTTCAATTCTAACTTTGACTTCCCCCTCTGGCGGTTAGGAAAAATCCACAGAAAATCTGCATGTTCTTATAAGCTGCAGGGTTCAAAGCGTGGGGAAAAAGTAGCGACTTTTTTTGGTAGAAACTCAAGAAGTCATTAAAACAAATATGTGACAGAAAATATAAGAAGAACTTACTGGATTCTAGTGGAGGGTGAGGGGACCCTGGGATTCTTGGAATGTCTCTGTAAAGGGTAACTGGTCAGAATGCATTCAAATTCACATACACTATACTATTCATTGTTGACATGAGCATATCAAACTGCTCCTGTTTTGCAAAATGATGAAAATTGGCTACAGCTAGATTGTGAAGAACGAAAAGTCCATCCATGGAAACAAGGTTAGGCAACAGTGGATAAGAGATGAAAAAGACAAAACATCTGGAAAAGAGGATTTTTTTTTCTGTCGGATCATAAGGATTTCAGGGAGGACACAGGATAAAGGGGTCCACCCATTAAATCTACTTACTGATATGCTTTATAGACTTTTCTCAAAAGGTTTTTGGACACAATTCGACTGATGGAGCTTTTATACAAGAGGAAAAAATATCAAAAGCATCTTTCAGAATAATATCCACATAGTTACTGCTCTCCTTTAAATTGAATAAATACATATTGATTTTCAGCCTTACCCTATTGGCCTTGAAACTACGATCTCCACTTGAGGTTCAGCTTTGGATTCAAGAATGATGTTGTACACTTCTTTCTTGGTTGCCCCTGGCAATGACTTCCCATTCCACTGTAAGACTTCATCACCTGGAAATTTGACAAAAAAAGAGATGGTTTACCCAGAGGTCCATGTTGAATTTGTTTCTCATGTCTAAATGTTTACCGCAAAAGACAAATAAATGTGTTAGAAACTTTTGCTCCTTTAGGAAAATGACAAATAACGCCATGAAGGTGGTTTATTAAGGAGGCCAAGTTAGAATTTTTACAAAGCTGTATAATGATCAACACTATAATTTCTAAGTACATTTAAAAAATTGAATCAAAATTAATTTTGACCAGTTACATTCAAAAGTCACCATATTAATAAATAGAGTCCACATGTGAGTGAATAATATTGGCTTAATTAAAGAGGGTTGGTATATAAACACATTTTCACAAGCTTTTAGTCATTTCAAATAGCTCTGTTCAATCCATCATGTAAAAATGGAAAGAGTTGAGACCTACAGATAGGGATGTCCCGATGCATCTTTTTCATTTTTGATACAATACCGATATTGCAGCTTTGAGAATTGGCCGATACCAATATTGACACGAAACCTTTCAGAAGCTTTAAAAAGAGCAGAGTTTTTCAATCAGCATGAAAATATCAGAGATTTTAAATACCGGCCTTTAAAATCTGATATCAGTTTTTGGGCTAATATTGAACCGATATCCAATCGGATCGAAAATTCACTACCTTCGAATAAATTAATAAAAGATCCAGAAAAACGTAACTGGAGGAGCTGCAGAGATTCACAGTTTAGGTGGGAAAATATGTTGACAGAAAATCAATCAGTTTTGCATTTTATTCTTTTCTTCCATCAAAGAGTAGGAAGAAAAAGTCATTGTAGAAAGCAATGGAAAGAAAGTCCCACTTGCAGTTGAACACAAGTCATCGGGGGAATACAAATGTTTATGGAGATTTTAAAATGTGGGAAGCTTTTTCTCTTGGCAATTGTAATAAGATAAGCTACCACAAGCTTCAAGGATGTGAATAGTTATCATAGTGAATATCTGGCTGTAAAAATTGAATGCTGAGCCGTCAGAAGCCCTCCAACTGCTAATCTATAGCGTTTTACTTTCCTTCATGTAACTGATACTGAGCAAACTTAAACTTAACCACCATTGTTATGTGGAAAGGAGATAAAGTTGGATTATATATATATCAAGAAAATTATTATTTTGAGGAAATAGATGCTAAACGATAGTTAATTATATCTGTCACTACAACTATTCCACCAAGGCAACAAGCACCTGTGTAATCTTCAATCAGTCTGTGTAAGAGTGATGCACATGTAAACTGTTTGGGGTAGGTACAGTCACCTCACTTGGTGCTTACACTTTAAAATAATCATAATAATAATAATTCATACATGGTAAAGAGACAATGTATTAATGATTAACTGATTGTGATAATCATTAACTGTTTGCTAATGTTTGATTCATTTATTAACTGCATCTAAACCATTTATTAAAGGTAAATACAGCATGTATTAAGCTACTAAAATTAGCTGATATTAGAATTAGGGCTAAGCATGGCACGGAAATGGGCTCTATACAAAACTACACCACTTCCTGAACTTAAGGAGGCAGTTTTGTTTTCTGTCTTTTTCTACTGGATGAACTGATTAACCCAGGTGTGCCTGACCTCAGTAACCATGGCCAGACACACCTGGATTAATCAGTTCATCCAGTAATGAAAGATAGGAAGAAGAAAAAGAACTGTCTTAAGATTAGGAGGTAGTAGAGTTGTGCATAGAGCCCTTATGATCTATTTACCTTAAATAAATGGTTTAGACACAGCTTATGAATGACCAAATTAGATAGATTACCAAAAATTAACAATCTGTTAATCATTCATAAATAGTCTCTTAACCATTTATAAACAATGATAATAATGGTTACTGTGAAGTGTTACCGACTTTGTTTAAAGACCGTTGTTATACTTAATAATATTATATTAATATTAACATTAATAATTTCAACAAAATATTTCACAAAGAATTCCTTTTAAAAAGGCAAATTATGACAGTGTATAGATAGTAATAGTGTATGATGTGTTTGAAGACAATGCATTTTGTCAATCATTCTGATATATTCTCCAGCTTATAAGATACAGGGTGATAGTAGAAGTGAATACATAAAAAGCATATCAAAGAGCATGAGAAATCATGACTGACCCAATAATGTATTATATTTGGTAAATTTTCAGCAGCAAACTAAATCTTTTTTGATCCAATAAATATTAAAAAACATTTTTGTCTGCTTGCTAAAACATTTACCTGCACTATACAAAAAAAAAAATTTGAAGTATTTCCTAATAAGGTGAGTGATTACTGTAGACTACTGAGTCTACTTATGTGGAAAACATCGTTGGGATAAAAAGCGATGTGTGAAGCTGATCTTTACCTGCACGTAGATGCCCCACAACATCTGCTAGGCTGCCTTTTTTGACTTTGGTGATGAAGGCCCCAAGTCTTCCAGACTCTGTGATCTTTCCCCCAACAACCTGCACACAAAGGTAGGATATAAGGTGCTCTGCAGGTTTAGGTGTTTAGCCACAGTTTACTGTAGGTGGCACATAAACCAGGAGATGCCAGGTTTAAACGTGTCTATCACTTTTTCATTCTTGCTAAATAATATTTTTCTGTTTTTTTTTTTTTATTTTTTTTGTTATTAGGCAAAAAGTGGTAGTTGAATTAAAAAAAATAGAAACCTTCATTTATGCATTGTGGTTCAGAAAGAAAATTCTTTGTCCCACCAACCAAACAGTAAAACCTAAGAAAGTGTTCATAAAGATAGCATTGATTTGGATGATTCTTAAAATGTAAATTGGGGTGGCTCTTATGTCCAGCATGGATAAAATAGATTTTCGCAACTTTTTGAAAAGACCCGCCCACCTAAAACAAAAAAATTCACATGCACAACCATGTACCCGCTCACAAGAGGGAACACCTATCAAAAGTGTGGGAGAGCATGCACAAGCCTATTTCCCTTCATGCACACTCTGTTAAAAGCTGCTGTTTATATCGCTCATACGTACAAGCATACTTTCCAAAAGAAGATTTGCAATTTTTCCGCTATGTCTGACTCACCACTGGTAAGTGAAAATGTGGACAAGCACATAGGACAGGCTTACGTAAACATATCACCAGAATGACTGAAAATTAGGAGGACCACTTATTTAGATGATCCACATGGAAAAAGAACATCCTCTACTATACCTTTCAATGACACCTACTGCTAGTCTTCTACATCTCATTCAAAAATCATCTCCTTGGTGTATTCAATATTAGAGACTCTTGGTTCAGACCATATCACTAAGCTTTCATCATTTGTAGGCGTCCATCCTTGATTAGTGAGTCATCACTAATTCACTCATTAAGGCTTATGATGCACAGTCATTGATTAACAGCTTTCTAAGAACAACTTGTTCCTTGAAGTATCCCAGCAGGGCTAGAGGGTTGGACAGCAAATGCAGATAAAGACCTTAACAATTGGCATAAGACTTCTGGCACATAATATTAACTGTGTAGCTGTCTCAACAGATTTTACACTAAACTCGTATTGTCCTATCCTGGTTTTCCACATCTTTTTTTAAACACAAATAAGCCTGAAATATCCATGCATACAGATTATCATTTCAAATTATGAGGGTTCAACTAAACAGTTGTTTTCTACAAAAAAAGTAAGTTAAAAAATGTAAAAGGGCAGACATTTATTTAAAAAAATATTTGCATGTGTATAATGTTCAATTATTTCTAAAACCAGAAGTACAGCACACTTTAAACTTTAAAGAAACAATATTCTCTGAATGCAAAAGAGATTGTGCTCTTACTTTTAGACCCAGCAGGGAACCAGCCTCTCGGGGCACGGCCGACCGCTTGCTTAAAGTGATGCGCCCAATCAGGTGGTCACCCTCTTTGGACGGCTGCCATGTAACTGGGTGCTGCAAGGGCAGAAAACAGATGAAAACTGAGAGGGAGACTTATAATGAAAGTAATCGCATGTAAAATTACAAAAGTTTAACTAACTGTGATTCTTTATTAATTTTACTATAAGGTTTAGCTTGTGAGCAAAATGTAATTTTTTTAACTTACCACAGTGGGTAGTTATAATATTCAATACTTACATGCCACACTGTAGGATCTAAAGGGTGACAGTCCAAGTCCCCTGTTGGGACAGAAGAAAAATAATAGTTTAGTTATTATTTAGAAATAGAAACTTTTGCTTCCTAAATGTTGAAAAAGTTGCTTCTTTCCAAACGATAAAATAAAATACATACCTGCATAAATAGACTAATTCTTGCATCAAGCATTTGATTGTATACCTGGCAGCGGTACAATCAACTACTTATATCTATAAGGCTCATCAGACCTTTTTATACAATTTACATATAATTATAGATGATGAATCATTCTTCTGCTTCCAGCAGAAGAAACAGACAAATCGATGGTAGACTGTTAAGAGCAAATCAACAGAACAGATTCTTTTATGGCTTCAGTTCAGAAATAAGCCCAGCATCATTTCCTCCTGCCCCTACAGTAGCTAACAGGCTGCCCTGCCCTCTTGACCAACAGCTTCAAGTAGCACCTGAGCTGTCTTATCTTCCACCTCAGTCATCCATCCAGCTGCTTCTCTATCATTGTCTCCTGACACATCAAGAGATGTCTGTCATTTGTATTTGGGTAAAAAGACAGCTACAGAGAGGGAACCAGAACAGGACTGTAGGTCCAAATTAGATCCTGCGGGTTTCTGCTGACTAGCCTATGAGAGATTCTGCATGTTGTTTTTCCTGAGGATTCTCAGTCTTTTCAACATTTACGTAGGCAAGGTAGGACATAGAAAGTTTATTAATAAAGAACATTTATGTAGCAGGAACATTCAAGTCCTGTGCATGAGAGACAAAAAGAAAAGTACATTAAAGGAGAAGTTCGGTTTTTAACACTTTTAGCCCATTTTCTGTAGTGTCCAGGATGAAATCGAATGATCGACACCAAAATTTTGACAATTGGTCCTGTCTCTGCTTTTTGGCTAATTTAGAATCCACCCCTGGCTGCTTTAGAATGGCTTCCATAGAGCATGTCCGATAATGTCCTTAAAACAACCTTAAACGTTCTTTTTTTAAAATATGCTACTCACCGGGTCGTCAGCGCTGTTCAATGACGTTCCAAAAAAAGTTTCGTAAAGAAAAAACGTTCCTGTAGTGTTTTATTTAGCATTTTGTAAATCCCATTGAGTTCTGTTGGAATAGTCAATATTCCCCTGCCACCGAAAACGGAAATGGGGCCTGTTTACACAGTTGTAGTCTTTTCGCTTCACTCTGTGTACTCCGACGTCGAGGTGCTAACGTCTCTGTTAAACACTTTAAAAAACTCTGAAAATGGAATACGAAAGGTGGATTCTTGATTCTCGACGTCGGAGTACACAGAGTGAAGCGAAAAGACTACAACTGTGTAAACAGGCCCCATTTCCGTTTCCGGTGGCAGCGGAATATTGACTATTCCTACAGAACTCAATGGGATTTACAAAATGCTAAATAAAACACTACAGGAACGTTTTTTCTTCACGAAACTTTTTTTGGAACGTCATTGAACAGCGCTGACGACCCGATGAGTAGCATATTTAAAAAAAAGAACGTTTAAGGTTGTTTTAAGGACATTATCGGACATGCACTATGGAAGCCATTCTAAAGCAGCCAGGGGGGGATTCTAAATGAGCCAAAAAGCAGAGACAGGACCAATTGTCAAAATTTTGGTGTCGATCATTCGATTTCATCCTGGACACTACAGAAAATGGGCTTAAAGTGTAAAAAACCGAACTTCTCCTTTAAAGTGGCATTAAATTAACATAAATATTGAAAGAGAATACAAATTATTATTAAGAAAGATTTTTTATATATATGCAGTTATGTATTTTGTAATTAAACTTACTTACTTACTAACACACACATGGATTCAGACACATAGGATACGCAAGGATCCACATGGGAATTACATTCTTTCATACACTGACATTCCAAGCTACTAAGTCTGATGAGGGAATTTTAAAGGGGGAATCAGCGCTAAGCTGGTTATTCTTAGAGATTGAATAACTTTTTTTTAACTTTCAATGGGAAGCGGTTTAAAAATGCAGTTTAAGTTTAGAAGAAACTGAACTTGGTATGTTGAGATGAGCTGTAGGTTTCAGATAAAAAAATAGTTTTAAGATGTTCTTTACGTTATCCGTGAATTAAATGTTAAAATATGTAAAAAAAATCGTTAAATGCTTACTAAATATCTATTTCTTGTTTCTTTCCTGTTTCATTACAGCTTCAATGCAGATCCTTACATGAGATTAATCTATATTAGTTGCGGTGATTTGAGCTTATATGCACAAAATAATGAGCTGAAACATTAACCGGATGTTTAAGCCGAACACATTTTGTTACCGATAACTTTCAACTGCATTGAAAGCTAAGACATGTTTGATGTTTTCTGATTAGCACCTGAAAAAATCTGCTGAATAATCATTTTCAGATGACGGATAATTTAAATGTAATCATTTAAATGATGATTTAAGAGATGAAGTGAAAGTAATTGTGGATAAGAATATCTGGTTGTGACTGCACTTAAATTTTGAGTAAATGATGAAGTACTAGTACTAGTAAAGACAGTGCTGAACATGATATGAACAGTAATTGCACTCTCTTGTGTGTCGGAGGATCCCAGAGGAACTGATTGCTGAACTGTGATGAGAACACGCCATGAGGACAACGACGTGGATTCAGCATCTACACTGCCACCGGACGGCATGGAGACCAAAGGGACTGTGGAGGAGACCATACGAGACTCTAATTGGTTAATTAGCTTGATGAGTGATAGTGAAGAGACAGCCTTATGCTCAGTGCTGTTCATCATTTAAATTGTTTTAATGAAGAACATGGAAACATTTAGCTCCAGACCCACCAAGATTAGGTTTTACGCCATTTTTGCTTTGATATAGAAAGACTCAGAACCTGATCGGCTTAAGAGCTTCTTTAATTAGGTAGTAATGGTAATCATCATATTCAAAACGGGTTTTCTTGCTCAAAGTGGGATTTCCCTGGGGTCACCCCGGTTTTTACTACCTTTGAGATAAGGTAGGGTTTTCCGATGGAGAAAGGTCCTGTCATGTGACGTCCCCTACTGTGAGTGGGGACGGATGGTTTATCTGTAATGAGCGGTCACACTTAGGAGGCCTTCAGGTGGGAGTGACAGCAGATGAATTTTATCTATTTAAGGTTATAGGCTTAGGTTACCTAGTCTAATGTAAATTGAAATAATGTGCCCATAGGAAACTAAAACAGCCTTTCTTTAATTATTACATGAAACCCAAATTGTAGTAATATGATGAAACTGTGGTCTTGAGTGACAACATTTGTTCTCTGAAGTTTTGATTGTGATTACTTTTGATCCATGATCAATGCTACATGACTAGTGGGACTGTGATTGTTTATTCCATGATTCTATGATGAAGAAACAGTGCTTAAGGTTTTCCTTCTATTTTATATCCAGGTCAGGAACAGACAATAATGGGTTTGCGGACATACAAGGTTTGTTAAAAGGTGACTTTGAAAAGGTCAGCTTTTCAGGGGGAATTGTTAGGATAATTATCATTAATGATGTGTGAGTTAATAACACCCTAATATTATGAAACATAAACAAAGTGGCAGATATCAGGAAATCCTACCAATGGCTAGACAAAGCCAGACTCAAGGACAGCACAGAGGCATGGCTGCACATGAGCAGGCCCTGAGCATCAGAGCATAGAAGCCCCAGATCTACAACATCAGGCAAGACTCCAGGTATAGGCTGTTCAAAGAAGCCCCTGAGACAATCCAGCCCATAACTGCAGGGTGTACGATGCCAGCAGGGAAAGCTTACATGGAGTGCCATAACCAAGTGGCTGGAATAGTGTACAGGAACATCTGTGCAGAGTATGGGCTGGAAACCCCAAGGTCAAAGTGGGAAACACCCCCAAAGATGGTAGAGAATGACCGCGCCAAGATCCTGTGGGACTTCCAGATACAGACGGAGCAAATGGTAATGGCAAACCAACCAGACATTGTGGTGGTGGAGAAAAAGCAGAGGAAAGCCATTGTGGTTGACAATGACAAGTGACTGCAGCATCAGGGAATAGGAGCACAAGAGACTAGAGAAATACTAGGGGCTCAGAGAAGAGCTGGAGAAAACATGGAAGGTCAAGGCATCAGCGTTACCCATGGTGCCCATTGGGGCACTAGGAGCAGTGACCCCCAAAGTTGAGGAGTGGTTACAGGGGATCCCTGTAAATATATCAGACATCTCGGTCCAGAAAAGTGCAGTTCTAGGAACAGCAAAGATACTGTGCAGAATCATCAAGCTCCCAGGCCTCTGGTAGAGGACACAACCTATCCCCACCAACTTTGGCCTTGTGGGGACAGTCCCCACCAATCATTTCAGCTTTTTACCCCCTTTCCGCTCATTTACTTTAGCCAAAGGTATCAGAGGTTGTGTGCTGCTATCTGTGTTCAGAGTGTTTTCAGTTTTGTTTTTTTTTGCCACCAAAAAATCAGTTTGTTAGACATACAGAGCTTTTTCAGTTACAAGTTAATATTAAAATGCAGGAAGTTTGAGAAAACATAGCTTCAATTTTGTGTTCTTCCTTACTAGTTAAAAAAACCTTGGCTTCTCAAAGGACCACAACTCACAGTTACAGGTTAAAATTAACACGTTTTCTTGTTGTACAGACAGAATCAGACTGCAGAGCTTCTACATATCTTGAAATTTTGTTTCTGGCATCATCATATTAGTAAAGAGGTTCATAAATCTTTTTAAACAGAGCACAGAGAGATGCAGGGAAAGCTGCAGATTTAAAGGTGAAACAAGTTTATTGGGATATGCAACATGCAATAAAATATATCTCAGGGTTTACCAGAAAGTTTACAAGAAAAAAAAAAATGCTATGCTATAGATAAAATGAAGCATATCCATATTTTTCTGGATGGAATTGAAATTGTACATTCTAGGGATGCATGATTTATCATGGCTGTTATTCGTTATTGTTTGTGCCCTATAATGTAATGCACTAAAAGGCATCTCTCTAACTATCTATAAATATAAATATCAGTGAATTATGGTTCTCTTTTGTTCTCAACAATGAGAAAGCATTCAATAAATATATGCTTAAGCTTTTTTTGGAAAATACATGCTATACATATGCAAATATATATTTATATACACATATATTTATATATCTGCAGTGAAAAAAAAAAAAATAAAAAATAAAAAATATATATATATATATATATATATATATATATATATATATATATATATATATATATATATATATATA